TTCGTGTTTATACATATTAAACTTACAATTCATCCCATAACATTACCAACCCATCATACAATACCCGAGTATTTTAACAAACGGAAAAAGTGATTCTTTCTATAGCTTAGCAATGATATTTTATTGATTTTTATTCGTATTTTATTTTGTCTAGATGCCAAAGAAGCTCTTCCTTTCTTGGTTGTGATAAGTTCTTCATTTGTTACTTTTTCAACGTTACTTAGAGGCAAACTTTCGTGTAACAGTTTAACAAAAAAAAAGCCCAAAAATCAAATCAGCCGTTAAGAGCCAAAATTTGAATTAAACCCCTGCGAGTTACACTAATGTCCGCAAGCCAACATGAATTTATACATTTTTTTGGGAGTGGCAGGTAAACCAATTAATGAAAAAGTAGTACTTGTTAGTTAAAAATCTATTATACGATTTTATTGCACATAGAGATGGGTTTCAAGCGTGCGCATAATTCGGAATCATGCGCATTTTATCCCATCTAAATTTTACATAAGAAAAAATAATTTAGGCCAGAGAGTATAATGTCGGGCGGAATTAAGAAATAGGAATGTTCCGAAATATTTCGAAAAGAAAATGAAAGAACAAAAAAAATGAGAAGGTCTGTTCTATATTTGAGCAAAGTTCCGATATTTTTTGGAGAAAATATAAAATCAAAGAATTATATCATGTGATATCATGCGCATTTTATATAAATTGTGCATTAAAGCGCATACCATTATAAAATGCGCATTTTTCCTAATTTGCATTTTTTTTCTTTATTTCAATTGCTGTTCATTGTCAAGGGGTTAAGCGTTATACTGTTGAATAACGAAATCTAGTTAGATCTATGATCTTATTTATTTATTAAAAACGATGTTAACGATAAATATATACGATTATTTTTTTAATTTAAATACGTTCATTTTTTCTATTTAATAATATTACATATCACTCTGTTCCTGGTAAATTAGCGCTGGAATCAAATTTTATAACAGTCGTTTATTGTGTCATGAATCAAGTATACTGTATTTTATAACAAGTATTTTACATTACCCCCCCTACTTTCTGGGAGAGGGGAGAATGGGTGAATTTGAACGTATTATATATGGAACATTTTTTTTGGCTGTTTTTTAAAACCGAATTTTAAGAAGCATCACTGTCACGGGGTTAAACGATATAGGGTAAACTGTACCGAATATCTGGCCCAGGGTTATTATTATACGATCGAGCACTCGCTTAATTGTTTATATATTTATTTATTTAAGGTTAAGGTAAAGTGAGCGACGAAATAGAATAAGCGAAGAGTATCTTCATTAACTAATTATCTAAGAATGAACTCTCTTTACATTTTACTTATATACTATTACTAATCGTTATCGATTACAGTGAAACCTCTATAAATGCACCCTCTATAAATGCACACCCTCTCTAAATGCACGCTCAATCTCTGGCCCAAATATATGCATGACCTCTATAAATGCACTTTTTCTTATTGCTCTCTAAATGCATGTTGCTAAAGTTCAGTCCCAAGAGCGTGCATTTATGGAGGTTTCACTGTACTACATTGTTCATACAATTGTTATTATTACTAATCGCTATCTCCCTATCGCTATTATCTCATTGTACCGTTTGCATAATTTATCTATTGCATTACTTATTTATTAATACATTTTCGATCATACGTTATCATTAATTACGACATTAACCGCAACACACGTGACAATCACTTTTGCAATTACTATTCATTACTTGTAATAGAACTTTGTAAAAGTTTTCTTTACAATATCCTCTGCCTTTTTCAATAAGTTATGACATTATCCTATGAAACAGATTTTTATGAGCAATCACAAAATTCCGAGAAAGCAATACTAGCCAATCAAGTTTATAACAAAATTATCATCGACTACGACTTATGGAATTAGTAGAAATTTATGCTTCTGTTACACTATAAATACAAATATGCATGCGAACAGAAACGAAAAATTTTAAATTTACGATTTTGAATAGTAATACGAAGTTAATTACCGAATTAATCAAAAACGTAACTTTTGATGTAACCTTTGTATCACTTTGACAAACCATTTAATATCCTCCGCTACACTCCGGACAACCATTTTAGCTATCGATAAATTTTTGTTCCTCCTTAAAAAAATAAAAAATAAAAAATGGACCCTATACGACTTCGTATAATTGGTTACAATTATCAACATGGTGTTGGTGTTAAGAAAGACGAAAAGAAAGCTTTTGAACATTATAAGAAAGCAGCCGATTTAGGAAATTCAGATGCGATATTTGAAGTTGGTATTTGTTATAAATATGGAATTGGAGTAGTAATAAATTACCAAAAAGCATTTGAATATTTTAAGGAATCGGTTAATTTAGATAATATTTATGCAATGAATAGTATTGGTGGTCTTTATGAAAGTGGAGGTGGAGTTGAACAAAACTATAATAAAGCATTTGAATACTATAAAAAATCGGCTAATATGGGTGTTGGAATGGCAATGTATAATGTTGCTCGACTTTATCGAAACGGTATGGGTACAAAGAGAAATATTCAGGAGGCAAATTATTGGTTTACAAAATATAGAAGTCTTTTGAAAATTAATAAATCACCTGATCATATCAATCCTAAACTTAGGAGAATATTAGATGATGAAAGATTTAAATTAACTTGGATTAATTATAATGAGCTCAGAATTGTCAGGGAAATGGGAAAAGGAGGATTCGCAACTGTATATTCTGCACGTTGGTTCGATAGAATTAATAGTATTTGGTGGTCTGTCGCGCTTAAAGTGATTCATGATTCAAATAAAAATGAGCAAGAATTTATTCAGGAGTTGAAAAATTACTGCGAAATTTGTTACGAGAATCCTTCGTTTTTGAACTGCATAGGAGTGTCAAGAAATGATCATGATGATTATATTATTGTTATGCAGATTGCACCAAAAGGATCATTACGACAAAATCTTACAAAAGTATCACAATTAGAATGGAAAGATAAATTGAATATTTTGTATGGTATAGCATTGGATCTTGAGTCGATTCATTCGCAGGAACTCGTTCACAGAGATTTACACAGCGGAAATGTTTTGCAAACTTTTGCTTTGCATGACGCATATATTACTGACCTTGGACTTTCTAAAAAAGTAGGAGAAGGAAAAATTTGTGGAATTCTGCCGTATATAGCACCAGAGGTTTTGGTAGATCAACCGTATACTCAAGCATCAGATATTTACAGTCTTGGAGTTATCGCAACTGAGGTTTCAACTGGACAAAGTGCATTTGATGGAATATCGTTTAATGATGATCTTATATCAAGAATTATCAGTGGATCAAGGCCTAACTGTTTAGGACCAGATTGTTATATTGAATTAGCTATGAAATGTATGGATAAAGATTTTAATAAACGACCCAGTGCAAAAGAAATTACTGAAATAATCACTCAATGGTTAGATGAAATGAATCAGGAAGGTAATAGTGAAATAAAAAATCAATTTTTTGAAGGTAATAAGATTAAATCAGATCCGATTAAGCAAATACATTCACAAAACATGTACACTAGCAAGATATATGTTATGAATAAATTTTCACAATATAACACTGTAGAATTTGAGAATAAATTCTCAAATTTATATTTAAATTAAATTATATAATTTTAAATTATCAAAGATATGTTTTATGTAACATGCACTTGTGAAGATACAATTATAGTAATTTTTTGTTAGTTATCAAAATCTTCTACAATACCTAATCCCATTATATTATACAGATGAATATTTTCCTTCTTACTCTAATCTATAAATTATAGATAATATTCTTATCATTTGTTTTGGTGGTTTGTTTCTTGGGAATAATAAATCTTTAAATTAGGTTTGTCTTTTTTAGAATCTCATTCTTTGAAATCTTTTATTTATATATATATAACTTTCATTAAAATATAAATTTTTTGATTTGAAAATTGATTATTAATTTGCTAAACATCTTTGTAAAGTAAATTTTCATAAAAAATGCTGTTTTAACTTCGTATCTAAATTAATATTGAGAATTACGATATCTACGTACTTAATTATAGACAAGAGTATGTTACAATGTCTAATTAATTTAAAGATCTAATCATTAATTCTGAAACGTTATATTTGGTAGTAATTAGAGATGCCAAGAAAACCATTTGATGCTAAATCATCGTACACTATAGTTTATACTTATTGCATGTGACTTAAAAAATTACTAGTTATTTCTGTGCAATTATTTAGCATCAAATGATTTCTCGACATCTCTAGTAGTGTTTGTACCCACATAAGAATTACAACTATCGGATCCATACGTATCTTAAAATGGTACTATGATATTAGAAACTTATTCATTAAAAGTTTTATAATTGTTAGAAGAATAATTAATATATTATGAATTTAAATAGCTTATTCTTTATTCTTACTAATTAAGTTGGTGCCTTTTCATATAAAAAAGTGAATTAATTAAAAAATCGCTCTCAATGTACAGTATCTCTGAACCTTGTTCTTCTATTATTATTTTTAATTATTTATAGAAAAGCAGTGTTCACTTTGAGATGATGGATCGTTACCCCACCAAACTGGGAATGGTATCTTAAAGACAAAATGTGTTATGTTATATGCATAAAAAATTGAAATATTAAACGACACAACTGAAGCTAGAAATTTTGGATATTTTGCGGTGTTTTTTTTTCTTGGCATTTTTTTTAATAATTAGATTAGAATTTAGCTTTAGTTTTTATAATAAAAAGTATAAGTGGACCTTTGTAGAATTTTTTTAAATCAAGGATTCTAATTTATAGCTTCAGCTTCACCCGAAATTAAATGAATAGCTTACTTGTTTAATTCCAGTAAAACAAAAGAATAACACCTTTGTGCACCAGAATCAAATGCTGCAGACATTATATAATTGTATCTTTCATATATAAACGAATGAGCACCATTTCATATTATTAATTGCAAAAAAAAAGTAAAGAAAAAAAGAAAATAGGAAACCTACTTTTTCCACCACCTATGACAATCAAATAAGAGCTTCAATTATTAATTCATATATCATAACAATAAATAGGCATATACTTACTTATTCTTATAACGAAATGCATAAAATTGACTCAAAAAGCTAACAATAAATCCAGTAATTATGAAATTTGGTAAAGTTCCAGGGAAAGTTGTTAGACCATGAAATATCACGGGGATATTCACAAAGTTAAACTTTGCGTTTGGAAACTTTCGATGAAGTAAGTAGAATGGTATTGGTAAAAAGCCACCAATTAAAAAGCCCCAGAGGAGTAAATTATAAATTGAGCTAGACTGTCGGAAATCACAAAGACCACATGGAATATTAGATTTATATGTTCACTACTTCAAATAATAATAATAATAATACATTATATTCGAATTGACATACTCCAAAAGTCCTTTCTGGTCCAATTAATCCCCACACTATAGATGCAGTATTGAATATCTCTGATTTAAGGCCAGTCCACTATACATGTAATTAAAAACATTTCCCTTAAAAAAAGTTTAAATAATCAGACCATATGATAAAAATAAAAACTATTTACTTGACCACTTGGATCAGGTTTTGTACCATCAAGGTAAATTCTTTTCTTATTGATTATAATATTCAATGCCCAATAGTTTATAATTATGCCAACAAATGTACCCCATATTTGTGATTTGAACATACTTCTTGGCGGAATTTTCATATAATGACCTTTTAACAGTGAAAATGGATTTTAATAACAATATTTAGACATCCCCCGACGCTAATAAATATTTATTAAAGAATGAACATACCTAATTTTAGATCTTGAACAAATAACAGACATTGTGACAATGACACACGTCCATAAATTTTAAAATATATGTTTGCGATAGGACGACCAGGTAAAATAAAACCGCACACCAATTCAGCTATAATATTTAAACCAATTTGCTGATTTGAGATAGCCTGAATAATTCCTATTGATAAACAAGAGAAGATATCTTAAACCATGACCTAGATCCGCTCATCTTATAGACAATCACCTCACTGAAAGCTTAATTCAATTAATTGTCTGTAATGTAATTTCGTCAAGTGAATTTATTGCCTATGAACTAATTTGTCTATGAAGTAATTGTTGGTGAAAAATGATCATAAATATTATACCTATCGGAAGTACTGTAATTACAGCAAGAGTAATGGCCAACAATACACCCCACCAAGGTAAGTTCGCACCAGTTGTATAACCAAGGATAATTGCGATTATTAACGTTATAAAGAAAATACCACTATACCAATAATTTGGTATTTCTATTGTCAACATAAGAATTGATAATGTAAATCATAATTTTAATAAGCTGTTTCTAAAGTTATTATTAGAAATAAAATAAAATAAAATAATATTATTGAAATCTGGATAAACTTTCATCATTTTACATTGGATATCAGCTTCATCCTCTTCTTCTTTGGTTTTTTTGTATTGATTCCAAACTTCCTTCCCATGAAATAGTACCACATGACAAATAGTTGCGGGTAATTGCATAAAAGAATAACCATAACAAACAGCAAATGTAGCAGATAAAAATACAGGACTATAATTTTCATATGCAGTAACATTATGAGCACCAGTTGTTGGATTAATGATTTTTGTCTGATTATATCTATAAAAAAAAAAGAATTAATTACATAGTTTAATGTGTTTAATAATGCATCCAATAAAAAAAAATGATATCTACATTTTTCCATCTTTGTCATATGAATGAATTGATAAGAAAGGAAATTTTTGGGCATCACTAAATAAAATTAATAAATTAATTTAGAAAAATGCAACAATTCTACAAATTAAGATAATTAAATAATTGCTTACAAGACATTATTAAAGTACAATAAAGGACCAATAACCCAAATTGCTAACACGACACCAATGTAAGAATTTATCTGAGACCACCTAAGTTGTAAACAAAAATAAAATAAATGTAAAATATATCAAGTTTTAAATGATAGGCGCACAAGAATTATAGGCAAAAGCTACCATGGAGTGTACAAGGGAGCTGCATGACCAATAGCGTTCCAATTAAAAGAAAAATTAAGAAGTCCAGCACCTTTATAAACACTCCCCAATGTCTTTATCGCATTATTATTTGGAGCTATAAGACATAATATAGCAACATTGGCTAACCAAGTAAACATGTATTCTGGTACAAACTGCCAAACGAACATTGAAATAAAAGCGATATAAAAAAACCGAATTTTATCATTTGTTTCTGAAGTATTGCCATGTAATGTGTTGTACATGTTGGCATAGACAAGAGATTGAGGCCATATCATTTTAGGTGAATGAACCAAATCTAAATACAAGTAATTGAAATTGTAACATTAATTAAAAATCTTAAGAGTAATATTAATTATTCTGAATAAATCTTATATTTAAAAATAATTGGCTGTTGACAATACGCACATTTTCGAACCAATCCAACGAGTCCATATCCAATCATCTGCGTGCTAAGCATTAACAGAAAACCAACTAAGAAATTAACTCGAGTATTATAGAATAATTCTTGGATTGAAATGATGTCCTATAAAAAAAGATAACATCAAAAGATATTTGGCAATAACAAAACAACAAAAAATGATAATAACAAATTCGAATAATACCACAGCAAACGCAGAAATACCACCTGCGGTAGCGGCAGCGGCTATACACACGTGTTCCTTATAGTTAAAAGGACCTGCACAATTGGTTAGTTACACACAATATTTATTATATTGACAAAAAAGATCTAAATAAAAATATTAAAAAATTAATAAACCTGGATTTAGACTAAATTCCCAATTTATGATACAAAATTTCCTAGTTGGCAAGATTTTTTCCATCCATTTACCCACAATATAGGATGCGAGTATCACAAAGAATATGGAATAATTCAAACTGTTTGCACGAAAATAATAGAATACTGACACCGTGGCACCCAGTGCGGTAAAAAACTATAATATGTAATTCGTAAGTTATAAATATCTAAGCTTAAAAAATATACAAAACAACTTATTGTGTGGACTTGGCGTGTAATTTAGTTGTGATTTAGTTAACGTATAGTTACATACAGTTTCATACATAAATCACGTCGTAACAATATCCATACAATTACGATATATTAGAATATAAATGACTTACGGTACTTAACACCCAAAATCGAAAAGTCAAACATGGTAAACTTGGATCATCGTTTGTATTAACGGCCTAAAAAATTTTAAAATATTCAAGATGAGTAAAAAAAAAAATGAAAAGGAATGAATAGATTTCGATAATTTACTGCTGAGATTATTCCAATTTCAGAACCATCTTCTGATTCTATTTCGATATTATTTTCTTCATCATAATTATTCCCATTAACATCTTTTTCAAATTTTTTTCCTTCATCATGAGTTTTTACATTAGCATCGTTATAAACCGAATCTTCTTTAGCGTTGTTATCTGCCATAGATTCTACCAACTCGAATAATATACAATAGATACAATAATTTGAAAAAAAAAGTATTTATTAAAATTTGGCTACCGTTGTAAAAAAACGATTTGTGAATATTAGTAAAGGTAGCCATGTAAAAGGATGAGAAATGATATTTATATGCATTTTTAAAGATGAGATAAATTTGGTAGTTGATATCAGTAGACGCGAAAGAATTATAAATGCGTATAAATTTCACAGAAAAAATATATCACAAACCAATTTAGTTAACAACTATTTCACCGACTTCCGTTTGGCCGACAAAGTCTGTCTGATTTAGGTTAGGGTTTGCCTGCATTGGATATATAGAGATTGTCGGCGAACCGGTTGCCGATGAATTTTCATGCAAACCATGCTGCATTGGGGTATTTCATAACTAAATAATCAAGCCTATATACGGTATTATAATAAAATATTACAAGCACGGTTTTTTTATGTATTACGAAGATCCTGACATATTCTCTAACCGAATCTTAAAAAAATTCAGCACTAAACTATCACAAAAGCTTAAAACTTTACATATAATATGGTAAGACAATTTTTTTTACACAATTAATTTTAAATTTTCAGTTATCAAAGCCAATTCGTAACAAATATTATGATATTTTTTTTTTGTTTAAACATCTAACGATAACAAAAACCGAGTCTTAAAAAAATTAAGCATTAAAATTATCACGAAAACTTACAATAAAACTTTATATATAATATAAAGAAAGCCTTCTTTACACAATTACAGTTTCAAAATTTTGGTTATCAAAGCCAATTCATATCAAATTTTTGATCGCTTCTTTTGATAGTAAATTACTACTTTATATGAAATACCCCAATGTAACGCTAAAATTTAAATGTGAATATTGAAGGTTTATATATATATTTTGAAAAAATTAATTCCAGTAGGTCTATTAATATAATTGCAGCTATAGATAAGATATTTTCATAAGACCCAAAGTTGATTAACATAATAAAATTTTACATTATTTAAAGTGATTAATATTTAAATTTTTAAATCGAATTAAATCCAATCCATACCATAATTTTCTTTTAATTTTAATTTAGTGTTATACGTAAGTCGATTTGGAGTTATCGATTTAGTCGGTAAGGGTATTCTCAAGCACCTCACTCAATGGATCGGAAGTAAATTTTAATTAGTCGGAAGTTAACCAAGTGAGTTACTATTTCTATGAGCAAATCAACGAGAAACAAACATCTTTTTTCTTCAAAAATTTACCATTGATAAAGGTCGTTCAAGCATCCCTTTTACATTTTTACATATCAAACATGATAAACAATTAATTCTTACCAGATTTCTAACCGGTCTAAAAAGATAGCCACTTTATTTTTTAATGTTCGGAGCTTTTAAAATAAATAATCGATACCTTGATAAGAATATAATACTTTAACAACTATAACGAACACTGTTATTCCATTTTTCACTCATTTAAATTTAAAATCTTCTCAGTAAAGAAGTCCTAAAACTGAAATGTTTAGGTAGATGTTTTTCCGGATAGTAAAGAAATTTAAATTGTTAAAATCATTAAAAGGAGGAGCCGACGTAACTAAAGTTGAAACTTTAACAATTGATCGAAAAGAAATTATTTTCATACGAAAGATCTCTCTCTACATCAATTGTTCATACATCTACTTTTATATATTTCATAAAACTACCTAATCTATCTAAATAAGGACTTCTACCTCCGCCATTTCACATTTCAGCTATTCACAGTTTTCCATTTCGTCATTTCATCTCGCCATTCTGGAAGCCTGGGCTTTTGATTTGGTCTATTCTCGAGTTATATGCGTTGATCGCATGTACCTGCGTCGATAAGTTCATGAGGCGTGAGGGGTCAGTCTCTGAGTCGCATTTTTTGTGGTCCTAATTATTTTACCTGTAACACCAGGAACGAAGGCATATAGTTTATAAATGATCCAAGTGAACGTAAATAGTAAATAAATAAGAGCTAAATAGCATATTTCGAATGTCTAATGGATCAATGGATTTAATTGTTGATCTAGCATTTCATTAGTACTGGGGTAACAGAAAGAGCTTACACACCACCACCTTTTATTCATTATATTTGTGGTGAAATATAGTATAGACTGAAATTATCATAATTTCGCTGTAAGAAATCATGATTAACGTAAAAAATTGGTACATAACTTACTACTATTCTGATGACACGCATTATGCAGTTAAGTTGAGTTAGCTTGCAATGGAATTATTATGCTTTTTATTATGAGTTACCGTAAAAATTATACTACAAAACTTACTCCTACCCCAGTGACACACAGTATGCAATTCTGTAAAAATATTGTTCCAGAATTTGCTATTTTGTTAACAATTAGTATTGGTTAAATTTATATCGGAATAATCATTTTCTAACATGAATTACTGTAAAAAAATTCACTTATAGAATTTTCTACTCCGTACACACTGTATGTGGTTGAGTTAGTTTGCATTATAATTATCATGATTTCTATTGTGATTAACTGTAAAAATTGTTATAGAACTTACTCGCTAACCAATGATACATAGTATGTGGTAAAAGGTTGAGTTAGATTGCATTGAAATTATCATGATTTCTATTGTGAATATACTTGCCGGACAAACTTTTGGGATTTGGAATTTGTCTATGGACAAATCCGGACAAATAGGATTGTCCAGTCAAATCTTAAGTTGCCTAATCCCAAATTCCATCCCAAATTCCAAATTCCATTCAAAATCCCAGATCCCAGTTCCACCCATGTCACAAATTCCGAATCTCAAATATTATCATTTTAGTTATTATGGTAATGATATATTAAGAGCCTATAATACTATATATATATATATGGGTTTCATGCGTGCGCATGATTCCTCAATTAGTGTTGTTAGTCGAAATAATTTAGACATTTAGGCATTTAGGCAAATTGAATTTAGGCAATTTTGACATTGTTATTTTTTTAAAAATTACTATTAAAAAATTAAAAAAAGTTAATTTAGACATTTAGACATTTAGACAATTTAATTTAGACAAATTTTGACATTGACAAAAATAATTTCGACTAACAACATTATCCTCAATCGTGCGCATGATTCGGAAACATGTGCATTTTATCCCATCTAAATTTTATATAGGAAAAATAAAGTATATTTAATTTAGGCCAAGATGTATAATGCCAGACAAAATTAAGAAAAGGAATGCAGAAATTTTGAAAAATTCAGAAAAGAAAATGAATGAACATAAATATGAGAAGGGTTTGGGAAAATTTTTTGGCAAATATCCGATATTTTCCGGAGGGAAAATATAAAATAAAAAAAATTATGTCATGCGCATTTTATATAACGTGCGCATTAATGCGCATTCATGCGCATGTTATTTTAAAATGCGCATTTTTCCCATCTATATATATATACATATCTTGCATGATACAAAATAAATATCATGATATTCTAAAATGTTATTTAGATAACTTGCATGATATTATATAATATAATTGTAATCTTGTATAAAACATCGTTATATTAAATATATCCTAGGTTTATCTTGTACAAGTTATATCCTAGTATAAAATTTGAATTGAGATTTTAGATTTGAAAACTTGAGATTTGGGATATGAGACATAGGATAGAATTTGGGATCTGGGATTTGGGATAGGATTTTAGATGGAGTATGGGATTTAACCAGAGTTTGGAATTATAAAAGTTCAAATAGGCCCGATAAGAAAAATGGATCGGATCGGTACGGGTTGGTTTCGGGCCTTTGTGCCACGGGTCAAGATCCGGATTTGTACGGGTATGGTCCGAGTTGGTACGGATTCGGTGGTCCGTGTGGGACTGTATGCCCGTGCCAACTGGACCGTAAATGGTACGGGTTTTGTAGCAGTTTACTAGTCGAATCGGCACGGGATTTGGCACGGGTAATGATGCGTAAATTCACGTGCCACCACGCTAACAAATAACAAACATGTGGATTAATGATTAAGACATAAAATTTACATTAGTAATCAATATAATACGAACACACTAACTGCATATGAAGTAAAATTTTGTCAAGAATCTTTTTTGTTAAGATATTCAGAGCAGCTTTATCAGTGAAATTATGAGATATTGCACTTTTTTTAAAAAAAAATCATTTATTATTTTTCGCTCTCCGCGAAACGAGCCAACACGTGCGCAACGTACACATGCGTGTCATCTGAACATGTTGTTCCGTATGACGTGATATAACATGCCATTTTTGCCGTGCCATTCCGTAAAACGTGCCTGTTGAGAAAGTGGTGACTAATTTTTCTGGGAAGATTTAAGAAGAGTTAACCCAGTGATCATCACAATATCACATGATCATCTTCGGCCTAAGTTAGGGTTAGTTTAGGGTTAGTTTAGGATATAGTTTAGGCCAGTTTATTTAATTCTGGTAAACAAATGACGTCATGATATGTTTATCAAATGATTGTCGATCACTGGGTTAACTGTTCTTAAAGTGTCCCATTTTTCTAATTCTAAAAACTAACTAAATTCTAAACTATTTAATTAGGCAATCCAATACAGGCTTCAAGACTCCTAAGAACCTCGAGTTGGAAGGCGGAAAGATAGGCGTGGAGAGACTTGGTCCGAGATTCGAAGTCTTTCGGGTCTTGGAATAATATTACCGGGCTTCGATATGTCTTCTGTATCCTTTTTATTAGTTGATGACTTGCTTGTATCCGAAATTCTAACTCTAATATCCTTATGTCTTCGATTTAGTATGTTTCGCTTCTCCCGGTATCACGTGTTATGTCACTTGGATAATTCTGCTGATCGGAAGTTTAATAGTCGATTCAATTCTAAGATTTACGTCACAGGTAAATCTATCGGAAATCGGATTCTCAATTAGCCGACGTCACGGGGTTATGATATCACTGGTAATTGCGATGATCAATTAATTGTTCGATCAATTAATTGATTGTTCACTCAATTAGTGATAACAATGCGTCACGAGGAAATAAGGTTTGTAATA